CATTTCCATAAGCAGAAGCGGCGAGCCTTTGCTGCCTCCTGCCCGACCGCCTCGATAGTGGGCCCATCTAATAATTCGAATTTTTGCGCAGTCGAATTGGACATGTTTAATATTCATTTGAATAGAATCGGAACCGTGTACTCGACTATTCGGACGATCAAATAGGGGGCTTGCGCGTATTTCAGCCTTTTCATAGTGCATAAGTATCAGGTCGGTCTGAAAGTTTTGTCAGTTTTTTGAATTGACCCTCAAATCCTTTCAGTGAAGATAACATTTGAAGTTGTATCCGATGCAGAATATCTTCCTCTTTCGAGTTGCTATATCTCCAGTGTGATTCGTTGCTGTGATAATCGCTGGAGTTTACAGCCCTTTGTTTCACCATTTCCAACTTTCGCTAACTCTCAGCTTTATTAAGTATAGGTAGGGAAAACCTTTTGCCTGGAGCAATTTTTTACTTTTTCGCAACTCTTCTTGGATTTTTTTTGAATCTTGAGGTTTGGAAAAATCGCAAGACCTGTTAATGCACCAGACACTGCAGAATCTTCAGATTAATGAGGTTTCAAGACTCCTCATTACTACTACTGACCTTACAAAGTATCAGGGTGATTTTCGATTCAAAAGATGAAGATTTTGGAAATTAGGGTATGTCAATGCGTACTCGTGAAATAGTAAAGTAATGCAATTTTTCTTTTGCAAATTTCGCACATCTCGCCGAGTAAAGATATCTCTTAGAAAGAGGAGAAAATTGCGTTGAATAGTACCCGAAGTTCATTTCATGTTCCACGAAGTTAGAATAAGCGGAGTGTTATCATGGTCAATCCAAAAAATATAATTCAGAAGTTCTGAAAGACAAGCCACAAAGCTACAGAATGCTGCAGTTGGCAAAAGATTTCCCTTACAGTCGTCCTCTTCCCACTACAGTGCGTGTTAATGAGGAGCTCACAAGTCCGTAGCTCTTACGCGTACGCATCGCAAGGCTGATGCGCTCCGTTCGCGTACGTACGGCTTGGCCCCTTGCCAACCCTCGATCGATGACGTCTGTGGGAGTTGGCAAAATGCCCTGCCGTCCGCTCGCGCACGTGGCGCACGGGATTTGCGGCGCGTGCATACAAATCGAGGACTGCACAAAAGGGAATAGGTTTTTGAGGGGAACGGTCAGGAGTCACGGCGGCGCGAATTTTTCGCGAAGCGATGCCGCAAGCGATGTCAGCAAAACAGAAGCCAGCACTCCTGGCGCAGTCTTACTTATGGCACGAGCCATGTATCTGCCCCTACCCCCCATCCCCCTAGACTGGCGCCGTGCCACTTCAACACCGGGCAGTTTTATGGGGTACAAAATTTAGACGCGACGTGCGCGGCGAAGCGGCGCGGCGCGCGGCGTGACTCCTGACATGGAGCCGGTTTTTGACATCGCCTGTAGACACCTAGTGGACAAATTCAAATTTGAGCTAGAGCACGCCGGTTACGGCAGAGCGCGGCACCTGCAGCTCGTACTCTCAGGGACCCGCGTGCGGGCGGCCAGCGATGACCCTACAATCGCTCGTCGGTGTGTGCGATTGTACGGTCGTCGAGGGCCGTTGGCACGGTTAACGTGGGGCGCCCGCACGGTTCCTAACGCTCGCCGCTTGCGCGGGGAAGGTCGACCGCTCGCTTGTTGCTGGAGTAGATCTATATGGGATATCCTGATCATTTTTCTTGGATATGTTAGCCCTTTTTACATTCTGAGAACATCGAACGATGCCTGTAGCAGTGGCCAAACTTTCCATGGTAAAGCCCACACCATCTTTTGATAACTGTGGCTTCACACAGGTTCATTCCACCCTTGCTGGGGAAGGAAAATGTTGATAACAAGATCTGTCAACGCTTAGCCAGCCTAAACGCTGCGTCGTATCTCATGCAGGTACCGTTTGAGCTCACAATGTGTGAAAATAGTGAGCAGAAGATAGAGGTCACTGTCGGCCGCTTGCACGGCAGCAGGTATTGCCGACCGATAAGACGGACGCATTGCTGGCCGCTAACTCGAGCACTTATATTGCAGGCCGTTTGCACGGTAACATTGCCTGCCGCTAGGACGGCGCTTCAGCTGTTTGCCGCACGCACGGAAGGACCGTTTGTACGGTAGCCCTTATAGGAGGACCGCTCGCGTGGCGCGAATCCCTGAGCTCAATCTCAAACAAATTTTTTTTGTGTTTTCCCGACGTTCTAACATGGTTTTTGAATGCTGACAGTTTTCTCAGTTGGTGTTGAAGTTGTTGCTTTTGTTTGAGCGATGAATCGTGCTGCCAAGCTCGTTTCTTTGACTATGATTCCAAGTTGAGCTTGGAAAAACGACTAAGTTCAGAAACTGGTGAAATTTTCACGGTAAGTCTTGAACTTAGTCTTGCTTCATTGAACTTCGTGTCAAAAACTCCCCATGCGCATCCTTTTTTCAATCTTACCTGAAAAGAGAGTAAAGAAAGGGGCATAGTACATAGTACAAAACATCGCTAAGCAACCCTTCAATTCTGATTACAACCGTCATTAAAACAAAACAAAAAAATCACACTGAGTCGACAATAAAACACAAAAGACTTCTGCACTAGCGAAATGCATTCAACGGTGTCGCGCTCTTCTGCAGCCGGCGTGCTCTAGTTCAAATTCAAATTCGTCCACTAAATGTCTAGTTGGGGGAGGACGACTATACCTGTTAGCCATTGAAGCTTCCACAAAAGTCTCATATAAAATTTTCAAAAATCAGCGAAATTCGGACCTGGTGAAAACGACGGGTTGTAATTTCCAGCAATTATCTCAGCACTCTTCAATCACCCTGAAAATGTAGCTGCTGGAAAGAGAAAGAAATTCTGCATCGAATGCAACTTGAAATGTTAGCTTACGTTCGCTATACAGGATTTGAGGGTCATTTCAAATGACTGACAAAACTTTCAGACCGACATAATATATACTAGATTGGCGCAAAAGTTCTGTCGCACCTTATTTGGAAATATTGTAACAATTGCTAAGTCGACACATTTGCACAATCTAAATTTTATTAGTTGGGGGACTTATTTACTCTGTAGCAGTACCTTTGCTGCTTTTTAATAGAGGTGAGCTTTCGAAGTAGAAGCAGAAGAACTAAATCACTCCAGTTGTGGTCATTTCAATTTGCCAAAAATCTAAAACTTGCGTGATATAAGTATGTGATCCAGCTGCGTAATTGAACATCTTTGTAAAGAGTTGTGATTCTCGAGCGAGCAGTACAAAAAGCACATTTGATTCTTTTTGGCATTCTCTCGAAAATCATAACTCTCCGCAGTAATGCTTGCTCAGCAAAACTTTGCACAACTACTAAGAGTAAACAAAACACTTATTATATCACATAACATGCTTCTGAGATTTTTGGCGACCTATCTCAAGATGATCGAACCTCAAATGATGTTGTTCTCCTTTTTCCATTTCAAAAGTTTACTCTCATCAAAGAGCAGCAAAGGTGTTGTTACAAAGGAATTAATTTCCTTTATCCACTAAAATTTTCTCTGTCCAAATCCACTGACAAGGGGAATCCGATTAGTCAAAGCGGCCTTTTCAGTTGAGTCCTATACTGCCTTGAAGAGCATTGAACCCTGACTCCAATTCTGTTTTCATTACCTGCCGAGCGCCTCCGGATGCCGACTTATGGGTGTATTTTGAAGCAAAGCAACGCAGAATCTAGGTAAACCAACCGTTAAGCACTTTTCAGCGCTGATGTAGAGGTGTGTTAAGTATGAGTGTATTAGACAGGAGTTACCTATCGAATGAATTGCTCTGATGATTAGCACTGGATCATTTGAGCAATTGTGGACAAATTTTGTTCCAGTTGCGCATTCAACTTTCAACTTCAGAAACGCGCACAATTCGGCGTCCAGAAGCGTTTGGCAGATCATGAAGACAGATTTGGGAACATCTTTCATTGCTCTTCAGAGGGTATAGGAGTCACATGAAAAGGCCACTGCGACTAAACGGACCTCCTGAAAGACAAGAATGATTTCTTGGAAAAGATGCGAGAGAATTTCTGCGCCAATCTAGTACTTTCAACTCAGGTCTGCTCTAACAACTTATTTGTATCGTCATCCAGTTTATTAGCGATTAAAAAATTTTCTCCTCATAAGCGAAAAAGTCAAGGAGGCGACAAATCCATTTTTGACAGCTATAGCCTCCTAAAATTTCCCGTTTTCAATCATGCTTATCAAACTTGATAATAAGAAAAACAATAGCCTAATCAGCTGTAGGTGTTATTACTTCCATGCCTTTCCCTTCTCTTCACCTTCTGTCTAACGCCCTAAAGCCCTTTTCAAGTATATGCAGTGCAAGACTTGCTCACGATATTCGTAATCTCATTATAAGCACTTGAGTTGTGTCCCAAACCTTATGTTTCTTATGTAAATCAAGTAGGAGAACTGTTCTAAGTTTGCAAGATGGATTTTTTTGCACATATGCCAAAGCATTCGCTATTTATGTTAGCCAAATATAAAGACCAGTGAACCAGATCAAATAGATATTTCTACACGCTATCTCAGTTGTGGAATCGGTGCACCAGCGGCTCCGGTTCCGCGCGGAGCTCCACTTGAGCTTGCACCGCGTTCGCGAACATGCCCTCTGGTCCTTTTCCCATGCCTAATCAATTGAAGCTCTACTCTAGCGCTTTCTCACCTCGGCAGGGGAAAATGATAGCAGACGACGCTTTTGCGAACGCGACGCAGGGGTCAGATGAGGGGTTGCGCAGGAACGGAGCTGCTGATGCAGCGGAGATGGCCTGTTTATCGAAATCAATCCCGAGCATCAAAAAGATTCTGTCTCGAGTAAAGAGGCCAGGCAAAGGTCTGAACTTCTGCTTTGAATTCCAAGTAAATCTTTACTTAATGAAAAAAATCGTGTTTTACGTGGAGGTCATGTGCTTTTGCAGTGAAAGTATTCTCTAGGATGTTTTTGCGCTGTCATTTTTTCTCACATCCTCAGTATTACTTCCATGATCCGAATATTTCTAGATGTTGTCCGTGTGTTGCAAAGAAATTTCAAGACCGAGGGCTGTGGTGACTTTAGTCAAGTATGTGATAAATAATCACATAGGTTTTATTCTATAAATTACCTGTACCTTTCAGGACCGCGTCCTTAGCCACTGCCGCCGCCAGGGTGGAAACGAATGAAAAGAAGCATGTCAAGACACCGGTATGTACTGCACGGACATAATTTTTCATCAAAGAGCGAGTGTGGTGATTGCTTTTGTCTTAGTAATGTTCAGAATGAAGAGTGATAGAGGACAAATGAGGGCTGAGAATGAGTGGTTCTGAAAAGACGATTGTGACCTCAGATTACGATCTTTACTCATTACAGAATACGAGAATACGTCTAAGCAAATAGCATGTGAAAGGACCTCAAAATGCAAATAATGATTTACAAGGATCAATCCGCACTGCCTGATTTTACCCTACCATAATATTAGAATCGCTAAAGTCATATTCAGATCTCCCCCTCCTCTCAGACAAATTTTCAAGCACATGTTCGATAGTTCTTCCAAAAAAATTGGTCTATTGGGAGTTATCTAGCATTAGAAAAGGGGAAGTGCTACATTACTATCAAAAACACTGCGCTAATTTAGAGTTCTGACAATGAGATAATTCGATTATAAGGTAATTTATTGTGAAAGGAAACATATGCTAAACAGCTCAATCTTATATATAAAGCTGAATGTCTGTTTGTCTGTATGTCTGTATGTCTGTATGTCTGTATGTCTGTCTGTATGTATGTACGTATGTTCCGAATACAAATTTTTATTTCTGAACCGATCGGGACCAAACTTGGCACACATATACTTCAGGGCAGGGAGCGTGTCATAGGCTACTTTTCGTTATCGATCGATATCGATTTTATTGATTTTTTGCAAAATTCGAGCTAGAGGGCTGGGATTTGGCAGAGGGGGGTAATCGAGCATGCTGATCACCCCGAAGGGGTGATCAGCATGCTCGATTACCCCCCTGTGCAAAATCCTAGCCCCCTAGCTCAAATTTTGCAAAAAATCGGTAAAATCGACATCGATCGATAACGAAAAGTGGGCTGTGACACGCTCCCTGCCCCGAAGTGTATGTGTGCAAAGTTCGGTCCCAATCGGTTCAGAGATAAAAATTTCTATTCGGAACATACGTACACGGGTCTAGCTGGCAGGCCCGGCGGAGCCGGGCAAGCCAGCCAGTATAGTATAATACTTCGAATTTTTTGAAACGACGCTAAATTTACTTCCGCATATGTTGGATCGCCGCTTGACGAGGAGTTGTGCTTCTTCAGCGGTAAATGAAACCAGTGTAATATCATTGTACCAGTGGCGGACCGAGGGGGGGGGCGGGGGGGGGGGGGGGGGCGCGCGCCCCCCCCCCCCCCCCCCGAGAATGGGTCGCGAAATTTTTGAAACTTACCTATATGGGTTATAAAAATGTGCAAACGACTTGTTTGCACTTGAAAATAATTAAAATAATTTTCAAAATTTTTTAAAAATTCATTTTAGCCTTATAAAAGAATTTTTTTCGGGGGCGTGGCTGATGCCACGCCCCCTTTTTCCAGATTTTAGGGGTCGGGGACCCGCAAAAATTTTGAAAGCAGTGGTATCAACGCAGAGTACTGTGCGTGGCTAACGCCACGCACCTTCTTTGAAAAAAAATTTTTGTCGCCCCCCCCCCGAAAAAAATTTCTCGGACCGCCACTGCATTGTACATATATGAAGCGGAGTGTTGGTAAATGCTACTTAGTGTGTTCTTTATAGAAACTTTTGTGTGTGGAGCGATCATCGTTGAACTCTGCACACATATATTTTCGACACCGGTCCATCCCGTAGGCTACTTTTCGTGGCGAAAGTCCGGCTCATTGTATCGATTTATCGGTTTTAAAGGAAAATGTACTCTTATCAATTATTACCAAACCAGTTCCAACTTTCGTGTAAACAGTAACGGTAGAGCTCATTTCCATTACACGATAGGAGAATGCGGTAATTCAAGCATGCGATCAAGAGATATCTGCTCTGTGTTAAAGAAAAACAGTAACGCAGTAAGTTAAGTCTTTGAAATGCACCAGTCTTGCTTTTTGTTGGCCACTCAAATTCTCACTGCGGGCATGCGAGCTAGTTTAGAATATTCTTCGCTGTTAGTGCCAGGGCACTGAATACGATGATTAGTTTGAGCCTAGTATTGTTCTTCTCACCACGCTCTATTTTTGAGCGCTAAGAAGATTATTACGGTTTTGTTAGTTTGCACAAAGCTTCGGTTTGACCTATGTAGCGAGGATGACTGAGGACACAATTTGGCCTCCCTATTGAATTTGAGTTATTATTTCAAGCCACACACAATACGCAGTCAACAACATAGAAGGGCTGGATGTCTCCCATGCTGTAAGGCAGGCGCTATACTCCTCGAGGAGTATAGCAACGATTGGCGACTGCACATTGGATAGCTATCGGTTGCTGGCATAAGTTTACATGTTCAATTAATACCTATGCAAGTAGTCGCCAAAACTGACGATCGCCAATTGCCGATATCGGTGACTGTGTCTTTTATAAGTACTGATCGCTAACAAGCTGCCACATGCCCAATCGATACGCATCCAAAGTGGAGTCTCCAACATTGGCGATTGGCGACCGCCAGTCGTAGCGATTGGCGATCGCCAGTTCTCGCCGACTATACGTTTGATACGTATCGACTTGACGTGTGGTAACTTGCTTGCGATCAATAGGTATGTAAAGTACAGTTGCTGATATTAGCGATTGGCGATCGTCAGTCGTAGCAATTGGCGGTCGCCGATATCGGCGAAAAAAATCGCCGGTTTTACACGTATTTGATGCGTATCGATCGTCGCCATGCTATACTCCTCAAGGAGCATAGCGCCTGCCTAAGGAGTGAATGACGGCATCACGGTGTTGGAAGTGGAAGCAAAGGGAGGTACACTACGTGAGAATGGTGTCATGTTCTGAATAAGAGATAGGAGGGGGGGGGGATATAAGAGTGTTGACCGTCATTGGATTGATATGGTGGTCATGTTTGATCTTGTGGGTGAGTGACATTATTGATTTTGTCGATAAGCTTAGCTAGTCGATGAATCCCGCTGACAGGGGAAGGATACCGACATGAGTCGGCGATCGAAGACGTTATGTGTACCAGTAGACGCGCCCTTAGACGCCGATTTCCAAATTGTGTTCTTCAAAAATGTCCAAATTCGTCGAGGTTTAGGTGGCCTATTGGCGAAAAGCTGCACAAAAACACCGGAAAGTGGGAATTCAGTTTTGTATCGAGTATATTTTTTGCAAGGAAGGAATAATTCCTGTAAAAATCGCATAGATATTGTTTTAGAGCTTTTCGTTGATTTTAAGCCACTCCATGCTTGGCAATTTGGACATTCAAAAGCTCATAACTTCGGAAACTTTCGGAAACCTATCAAGAACGAAAGCAGGTTTGGACAGCGTTCGAAAGCGTGTTTAATGATATACATCCCATCTTCAATCGCCGACTAATGTTGGTATTTTTCCCTCATGAGAAAGGGATAAGGCGTAGTCAATTGTTAGTCAGTCATCGAGAATGATACTACAAAAAATTAATGACTAGATAGAGAAAGTCGCTAATTGAAGTAATAGATATTGTATTGCATTCGTAATAACCGTGCTTACCATCCTTTCATTGCTGATTTTTAGCCCAAAAAGTAAAGCCCGTAAAGTAAGAAAAATCAGTAAGTCGATTTAATATTAGTGGAAATAGCGATATTTTCTGTTTTCCGGACCCATTTTTTCAAAAACGATATTGCTTCTTTCCTTGTACCAGATTTGGCGAAAATTTCACAGGATGGGGAGTCAATCTCATGCCACGTGTCAAAAAAAGTTGACATGTCTCTACATGTTCAACGGGTTTCAACAAGAGTTTGTTTAGTCTACCTAACAATGCAAGTTCAATCAGTTTTGTATTTCATAATAATCTCATTTTTAGTCAACAGTTTTATGAATGAGCTTTAATATTAAGATTTCATAAACACATTAGGTTTCCCCAAAACAGAAAAGTGAGCTATTGTTCTATCATCTGAATGACGAGACAGTCGGCAGCCTGGTACTTCAACCATCATTAATATTCTTTCGCGGTTAAATTCGCATGGCAATGTGAAGAGCAAGAAATCATTGCATCTGGTAGCTTTCAGCAATCTAAATCATTGCTGAAAGCTACCAAGATGTTTTATATACGTTCAAAATTGTTTTGCTTTTAATGGGTTTGCACATAAGTTTTTCAAATTTTCCTATAACTTTTTTCTCAAATAATGTAGCACTTACATTTTCCGGATCATGTAGGATGTGATGTGAGCTGCAAGTCTGCGCAAACCGCTTGATTGTTGATAATGTAATAGCAAAAATTTAAGCATTTTTGAAAAACTCTTGAAAGTCGAGGTTTCACGGTTTCTTGCAAACCTGAAACCGTACAAAACCTGAGTCAAGCTCATCAAAAAGCGACTATAGGCAGCATGTAGCTAGAAAGAAACCATCGAAATCAGTTAAAAAAGTAATGAAATTCAAAACTTATCAAGATAGGGCACCTTTGAAAAGTTGAACAAGTCAAAAGCGTCAAATTTGGAGGGCCATCTGTCAATAATTGCGTTGCGAAACCTCAAAATTCACTAAAACTTGCGAAGCGGGTCTCATTTTTTGATCAACATGTCGAATGACCGCTATAGGCCAAGTTTCAGTAAAATCTGACACAATCTAAAACCCATCTTCCCATTATACCTCAAACCTACCGTAACTCTTACATAAGATGGCAAAATTTGGCAAAAATGTCCGCATTTGCAGTTTACATCATAATACTCATACTGCGAAAAAATGAGTGTGTTACGTTCAAATCGGACAAAAGTTATGCAAAACGGTGCATTACTTATGTGCCAACCTAATAGTAAAGACCCCAGAATAGGCTTCGAGTCATTTCAAAGGCTCTCGTACCTCACTGGACATAATTTTGAAAAAATTATGTTAAACTAGCCTTAAACGTGTTCATTTTTATCTTGACACGTGGCAAGGAGACAGTCCTCACAAGATGTATGAAAAGAAAATCTCTAGCCTGAAGCACGTGTTTTATGTGGAGATTTTGAAAAAAAATGGATCCGAATAAAGGAAAAGTACCGAAATAGCTTATAAACCCGTTCAAAAGTTTATGTATGCGAAGTTTAGTTCAGATCTCATATTTTTTTTTCTAGCATTCTGGGCCAGTCATAACAAAAGTGCTAAGCAAAAAACACCCGAAGTCAATAAATCATAAGCGACAATAGATTATTTTTGATAGAAGCTTAGTGATACCCGTCCGAAACATTTTGGGCCGGCAAAAATTTTTGAAGCAAAACTGCAAAAAATCGAAGCAATGTTTTGAAATTATAAACAACGCTTCGCATCATTTTAACGCTAAATGAGTGAGCTATACCTTATTGTCCAGCTATTTGGTGAAGTTGGTTCAAAGTTGCTGATAAGATATCTTCCTTTGAAGGAATCCACAGCAAATTGCCGCGAAAGGTACCCTATGCTGTCTTCGGTGTTCAGCGTGCGTCTTTAGACTGCGATGAAACTTTTTCTATCATTTAAAGGCGAAAAACTTAGGAAAAATTGAAAGAATCAATGAATCTACTGCTTTTTAGCTTTTTACTAACACTGTTCTCTTCACCATGTGGTTCAAGCCTGGGTCGCATCTACATTCTAGCCTGTTTCGCACAGCTTGCTTGCTTTGATTGCTTGAAGATCATGTTATGCTTAATCTTACTTCGGAGTTGGATCTCCTCGGCAGACTGGTTGGGCTATAAGCTCCGGTTTGTTTCTTGGAAATCTTTTGAGATCGTGGCTAGCAAACGAAGGGGCATGGGTACCATCTCCTTAGATTACAATTCGTTTAGATTCATGTTCGTTGTGCAGTACTTGAAAGTATTCAGTTTTGCACATGTAGCAATGCTCATGGAGTTTTGGGCTTTCCCCGGCAGGCTGGTGGGTGCTTACCCGCCGTCGTTTGCTTGTTTGAATACTTTAGGATCGTTTGCTGGCTAACGCGGGGGCATGGGTTCCATCTCTGTGGATATAACTCATCACAGATATTCGTAATTTTCAGCAGTCTTCTTGCAAGCTAAGTCGTTATTCTTTAGTTTGTATGAAGTCTGGGCTTGAAGCATATGATATGATGTTATGTTGTTACTCGTGCTTTGTGTAAAACTAACAATCACATTGTTTGTTTTTCTAATGGTACGCCTCGAGCGTACTTAATGAAAATGAAAATGAAATGAAATGAATCAATAGGGGCAACCCGTGTATCCCAGACAAAAAGGCTCATCAATACACGCCTCACCCCATACATTATGTCTGTCAAATATGGACTGGATTCCATACTCCTGCCCTTTTTGACCGAACTCAAAAATTTCTCTAAGCAAAACTGAAAAAATCTAAATCAATAGGTGCAATCCCTGTGTTTCGAAAAAAAGGCTTGTTAAACACGTCCCTCCCCATACATTATGTCTGCCAAATTTGGTTCAGATTTTATAACTCTTGCGTACTTTTTGGGCGAACATACAAACCTAAGCAAAAACTGCAAAAAATCGATAAATCGATAAAGTCAAACGGTGGGTCCCGAAAAAAATTGCTTATTAACACGTGGTCTACTTCATACATTATGTCTTCCAAATGGTTTACATTCTATGACGTCTTCTATCCTTTCGGGCGAACATACAAAAAGTGGCTGAATCAAATTTATATAGTACTAGATGGCAAACCCGGCTCCGCTCGGCCTTGTCAATAACATATTTGTAATCAGCATGCTCGATTACCCCTCTGTGCCAACTCCTAGCCCCGTAGCTCAAATTTTGCGAAAAATCGATAAAATCGATATCGATCGATGACGAAAAGTAGCCTATGACACCCGCCCGGTCCCGAAGTGTATGTGTGCCAAGTTTGGTCCGGATCGGTTCAGAAATAAAAATTTTTATTCCGCATTTACGTACAGACAGACATACAGACACAAATTCAGCTTTATATATAAGATTGATATACATTAGAGACAGTGGCGGTTCCAGGATTTCCGTCGGGGGGGGGGCAAAAATTTTTACCAAATGAAGGTACGTGGCTCAGCCACGCACTCCGAAAATTTTTTAGGGATGCTTCTCAAAATTGTTTGCGGGTCCTCAACCCCTTAAATCATGAAAAGGGGGCGTGGCGTCAGCCACGTCCTCGAAAATTTTTTTTAATAGAGCTAGTTTGAATTTTTAAAAATTTAAAAAGTTATTTTGATTGTTTGCAAGAAATAAACAAATCGCTTGCACATTTTTATCACCCATGTAAGATCTCAAAAATTTCGCGACCCATTCTCGCCCGCCTCCCCCCCCCACGCTGCCCCCCTCGGTCCGCCACTGATTAGAGATATCAGAACTCAAAAATAAAAACTTTTTTTAGAGACTTCCTACCAGCACAAACTTATTTTAGTTGAAAAGGCTAGATTATGAAACCAAGATGAAAAGTAAAAATGAAAATTTCTGGATCTTTCAGTATTTTGGGGGATTAAAAGCTGGATAAAGCAGTTCTAGCAGTTCTAGGAGTTACGAATTGACAAATTTTGGTGCAATTATGTTTTAGCCTAATATAATACACTAAAAAAGCTTTGTAACGCTAAATGAATTTCAAAGGAAATTTTGAAATTTGTTGCAATCATTTACAAGTACAGTTTCGGTGGAATCCGGCCAGAATTGCGGGATTTGCGGGATTTGCAGAACTTGCGGGATTTTGTCATAGCTTCTTCCAAAACAACTTTATTTGGAATCTGCAAGAAGATTTGGCTTCTGCTTGATGCGAATCTTTTAGTATACACTATGCCCATGGTGCATTGTATTGCATTGGCATGTACTATGAGATCAACATGTATTGTTGCTCATATGGACAAATTTGAAAATAATAAAGTAGTATCATATGTCTACCGTATCACCATGGACTACGGGCACAATGTATACCAAAAGATTCGTCTCATCAAGCTGGAGCCAAATCTTCTTGCAGATTCCAAACAAAGTTGTTGTGGAAGAAGCTATAACTAAATCCCGCAAGTCCTGTAATCTCCGCAGTTTTGGCCGGATTCTACCGATACAACTGTATAGATAAGTGTCACTGACACATTTTTATAACTTACGCAAATAACTTTCAAGAATTTCGCGACCCATTCTGTGTCCCCTCTTCCTCCCCCACCGGTACACCACTGATAGATAGCTATAGCTCATTCGCTCAATAAAAAAAATTTTCATTGACAGTTAGGGATGGTGCAATGTGTCTTGAAGCGCACATAGGCTGTCTGCAAATGGTGCTATTGTTGGCCTAGCCGTTAAAGTGCAACTGTTCAAAAGTCGAGTGCGTTTATGCAATTGTAAAAAGTACAATAATGTCGACCAATCGCGACTAGCTGAATATTTGCATAAATCCGACAATGCTAGCGTCCATTATAATGCCACAGAGTGCACTTTTGATCCTATGCAACGCTGCTGAACGTATTGATGCAATGTTTCAACGGTATTGTTTTAGGAAACCGAATCATTCTGTATGAATCTGTTTCGCGGTCGTGCAGTAATCAACCAAATATTTCCGTATCCACTAAAGCTCGATGACGATCGGCGTGAAACATTACACCTCATCGCTGGTCCTATGGAAAAATTTCTTGAGGAAGTGAACGACGTCGTTAAGTAAGTTTAAAATTTTCTTGAGGTAATGGCTTTTAGATAGTTTGATCATGTTAATACTGTCGCTAATCACTGTACCTTCGATAGTGTGATTGAATTTTTTGGGGGTGGGGGATAATAGATGGATGCGGCGGCTTGTAGCACTGAAATCTTGAAAAAGGCGGAGTGGCTGCAGTCAAAGGCTGAGAGTGGCAAGAAATTTAATAAGAAAAATTCAATAATAAGTCATTACAATAATTCAAAAACAAAAATAAATTTGCACAATCATATAACCATGTAAATAATTTCTTGTAGCTTTTCATTATCGATTACTATCGATTTAGTTTTTTTTTCGCCTGTAAAAACTAATAGACGAAGACCACCTAGAAAAAATAACAAAAGTCATCGGGGCTTTGCCCCGGATGTTATTACCCTGACTATATCGGAGCAAATGTTAATGAAGCAAATATAGGGAATGATATCTTTGGGTTTTCTCAGCGAAACCGAAAATTCGCGTTTTATAGCCTTTTTTACATTCAAAAGAAGGTCCCTGTAGAATTTTCGCCAGAAATCAGGACAACATTTCTCAGTTAACTTCTTATTTGACCTAAATCGAGTTTTAGAAGTTTAATAAAGCTGTTGGAGTTAAATAAAAACGAGAAACTGCGCTTAAATCTTGCGCAGAGAGTCGCGCACAAAAACGCTGATCTATCTCTTTGAGTGATTTTCAAGCTGAGGACGTTGTCAGTGTTCCTCGTCGTGTCATGATCAGAATGATATATAATGTTGCAGGGTTTCATTGAGACCCTGCGGAGATCCACGACCAGAGCCAAATGCCCCGTTGGCTCTGGTCTGTCTTTGCTGCTCGTCTGCGTCTCCGCGCGCTGCGCGCTACCTCGCTACCCCAAACGCGAGGCGCGGGGCATTCGGTTTTGGTACCCTTTTCTTCGCTTTTCGAACTCAATTTCAGCAAGCTGTATACCATTTCGAAGCTCTTGATCTCTATTTTCACGCTGACAACGTCCCAAAACATTTCACAAACCACATTTCTTGATTTGATCGATAATCCGGCAAAAACCTTGTTTTCGAAAATCTCTTGTTTTTCTCCTAATTTAGCTCTTTTCACGCCGTATTTTCGTGCATTCTATAGATCCTGCTTCTGTTCAATATGCAGACAACCACCAGCCCTTATCTCTTCGATTATGATGGAATTTTTTTGCGAAAAATCGTAAAAAGTGCGTTTTTACCTCATTCTTTTTCAGTGCTTTCGCAGCGATTTTTTTCCAGCTTGGGCGAGGCTGCACGTCATGAGGTACGCCGCGCGCGGCGGCCGCTTCGCCGCGCATGCCGCTTCCCGATCTTGGGACCCATAGAGCTGCCCATATCAGGGGCTCCCGGCGGCAAAAACACGGGGGTGGGGGTGGAGGCAGATACATGATTCAATGCCATAAGTAACATTGCGCCTGGAGTGCTGCTATTGTATTGGTTGAAGTACGTGGCGGCGTCGCTTCGCAAAAAATTCGCGCCAATCGTACCTCTCCTGACCGTCCCCTCTTGGGCGGTTGTTGCTCAGAACAATAAGCGCAACAATTCAGACAACGTCCCAAGAGACAGGAGCGTCAATGCGGGGATAAAAATTCAAAGGACGCATCTAAATTAAATTTGGCTTCGATGTTCTTTTCGACTTACGAGGGAGGTACTATTGATGGCCGTGGCCTTTTAATATGAGATGCATATCACCTGAAGCAGCTTAACGCTGATTTTAAATCTGCTTTCCGTTTCTGCGGAGCGCCCTTCTGAAGAGAGTTATGGAAGTCTGAAAATCCTATCTTGAGGCGCTCTTTGAGCTTGAGAGCGGTGCTATGTGCGTCGGTGATGCGTGATGTAATAGTTAGATGTTGGCACTGAAGGCGAAAGGTCGATGGTTCAAATCCGACGCAGAGCGAACCATTTTGCACTTTGGATGTGAGTTTAAAAACCACTCTAATTCGTCTGCAGTCACTTACTGTAATACCCTTAGCAAATGTGACCTAAGAGAAAAATCTTCTGGCATAACTGCTTGTAATGAGGCCCTGAAACTCACCTGACTTCGTTAACACTAGAACAGTGAAAATGGTGAAGCATCACCACCATATAAAGCTCAAATCATGCGCACTATCATTAATCGAGAAGATGTTCTCTCCTGCCTTTGACAGTGGGTACTTGCGAGCATGAAAATTGCGCGGGATTTTCCTTCATACGCTGTTCCCGTTGTGAGAAATGTCTGTGTTCTGCGCACTTTGTAATTTCGCTTCACCTCTGTACATATTCTTTTGCGGAGAAAACCAAATCAACAAGCAAGCGGTTTGCCAGAAAATTTTTCCCTTAGGTCACATTTATTAAGAGTATTACAGTAAGTGACTGCAGACGAATTAGAGTGTCAAATTCACATCTAAAGTGCAAAATGGTTCGCTCTGCACCGGATTCGAACCACCGACCTTTCGCCTTCAAAGGCAACAGCTAAACATTACACCACTGCACCACCGACGCACATAGCACCGCTCTCAAACTCAAAGAGCGCCTCAAGATAGGATTTTCAGACTTCCATAACTCTCTTCAGAAGGGCGCTCCGCAGAAACGGAATGCAGATTTAAAATCAGCGTTTAAAACTGCTTCAGGTGATATGCATCTCATATCAAAAGGCTACGGCCATTGAAAGTACTTCGTGTTAGTAAAAAAGGAACTTCGCGTTTTCATAACTAATTTCTTTCTTGTTAATTTTCTTCTTGATAACCACTCCTTCCAAAACATCTTATATATAAAGCTGATTGTCTGTTTGTATGTATGTATGTCTGTCTGTCTGTCTGTCTGTATGTATGTCTGTATGTCTGTCTGTACGTATGTTCCGAATAGAAAATTCCATTTCTGAACCGATCGGGACCAAACTTGGCACACATACACTTCGGGCCCCGGCGGGTGTCATAGGCTACTTTTCGTATCGATCGATATCGATTTTATCGATTTTTTGCAAAATTTGAGCTACGGGGCTGGGAGTTGGCACAGGGGGGGTAAGTGAGCATGGGGATCCCCGTGGGGGTGATCAGCATGCTCGATTACACCCCCTGCCAAATTCCAGCTCCCTAGCTCAAATTTTGCAAAAAATCGATAAAATCGACATCAATCGATAACGAAAAGTAGACTGTGACACCCGCCGGGGCCCGAAGTGTATGTGTGCCAAGTTTGGTTCGGATCGGTTAAGAAATGGAATTTTCTTTTCGGAACATACGGCGGAGCCGGGTACGCCAGCTAGTGTTTTTATAAAACAATCGCAAAAAAGAAATTAGCTCTTCTTCGCTTTCCCCCGTGTTGCGAATTACTGGTCCTGGAGCGAAATCTTACACTTTGCAAAACCGCTAAATGAAAGATCTAAACCTCATTACAGCGTTTTTATCTGGTTTTCAGCAGTTTCTTTTGCTTTTTATATCTGTCTTACATCATTTACTCTTCTCTGATCTTCTCCAAACAACCTTCACTATTTATGAGGGCAGATGTTCCAACAACCTTCACTTTTGACGCCCTGTCTCTAGACTATTGAAGGTATGATGATGGCCGAAAACGCCGGTCGCAGCTTCGCACGTCAAACCTACCGCCATCGCCAGAGTTGAGCTTTTAGATGAATGGGAGAGATGGGCACATGAATGAACTTGGCATTAGATTATCAATTACCCAAGTTATCGATTTTTTGCAAACTTCGAGCAGGAAAGCTGGGATTTGGGATAGGAGTATGAGAGCATACTGATTGCTTGAAAGTATTGTGGCATTCTGGGGTTCAGTTGAAGGAAATTTAGTGAGGATGCTCATCAGCGGAAGAGATAATAACTATAGGCGAATCATCGGACTCAGAGACGATACGTCATTACGGACTTGTCGGTATCTTTCGGACCAAGCGCACTCTCACCCTTCTACGTCTGCTGCCCCCTCCAGACATGTGTTTTCTTGGTCAGACCAGGGCCCTGCACGAGGGTGGCAAGTGGACTTCGGTGAAACGACTTTGCCTTTGCTACTATCGATTTTTACGATTTTCCACTTGATCCCGCTAGGTCGGATTGTTCGATTGGAGCGCGCTTTCTTCCTCCAAGGGGCGGGCGTCGTCGCTATTCCTGGTCCTAACAAGGAGGAGAGGAGGAGTTTCGGAACCAAAATGTTACTATAGACTGTACTTCGGGAGTACAGATTTATGTAAAAATGAAACGCAAGTTTTGCCTACCTCAGGCGGCCATTAGGTGGGCAATTGTCAACCCAGTTTGGAAAAAAGTTAAGCACGTTATTCATTCACGTAAGTTTCTCATATTTCTCAAACTTATTTTTATAGTCCCACTGCCGTACTCACATAAAATTTCGTGCCACATCGTCATCTGTGCGTTGCATACGAGCCATTTTTCTATTTTTTGGTAGTGAGGAATTTTTAGAAAAAGCTTGCCACGACCTTCAATCATATAATTTTTCTTCTCAGTTAACTCCTACAGGCTCGTGTTCATATATGTACGGTTTTGAACCATATCGTTATCTGTGCATTACAAACGAGTCATTTAATTCACATTTTCACTCGCCAGTATGAGTAACTTTGGAAAAAAAAGCTTAGCAGGAAATGGTCAGAACTTAGCCATTTGAAACAGCTGTGTATCAGAATCGTCTTAAAACGCTGATTTCAGACTGTATTTTTTAGAAATGTTTCGAATCTCGACGAATATATCTCCATGAAAGGCAGCTTGATGGCGCGAGTTTATAGTGGCTATGGTTATTTTGAAAACAAAGAAGAACCACATTTATGAAAAACCTAAATGAGTGTTTTTGAAACCTATTTCATGGAACATGCACCACAGAACACTTGAAAATCGCACATTTGAACGTTCATAACTCCTCCCCGATAGTCGCTTGGCAGATAAAAATCGTACATCTGAAATCAACACTTTAAGACAAATTCGACGATGTACAGCTAATTTGGAATGGCTAGGTTAAGTTTTGATTGTTTCCTGCCTAGTACA